CCCCAAAACCCCAAAACCCCAAAACCCCAAAACCCCATATGGACATTTTCTAATTTTTCTATTAGAAGTAAATAATAAAAATAAAAACCAAGATGAACCAAGAATTCCAGGTAAAGCAATCACCTTGAAGTGGTCTTACAACTCATAAGAAAAGAGCAACTAAATTACAAATAGGTTTTAACAAAGATTATGTTTTCTCCTGACAATGGTTGATGCTATCTTTCTTGACAATTAGCAGTGGTAAATTATCAACTTTTAGACGAGAAGAAAGTCCTACGTGCACTCTACTACTAAAGAAATGATCAAATATAAAAAGGTAGGGTTCTTTCATGCATTTTATATGGATAATATACCTTTCGACAGAAATTTTGAACTAACTAAGTCTATAGTCTTGTGAAAAAGCTCATAAACTTCTGCTAACCCAGACAACAGGGTCAGTTAAACACTCGGGTAAGCAAAAAGTAAGGACAATCAAAGAACTCTTATAGAGCCATGAATCAATAACAAAATCTCATGAAAATAACAAATCAACATCCCTCAAGCGTATGAGTCATGGGTTTAGATTTAGGTGCTCAAAACTATACTCCTACAATGAATCTCCACGAAAGCTTAAAGTACCATCGTGAGACTCCAACACCTAAATAACATGAAGACCAAAGCTACTCTTGTAGAAAGAAGCAGGAACAAGCCTACTTTTGATGTAAAGAAAGTTCTTAATCCCATAGGTTGGTTCTAAAGGTTCGATCATTAAAAATGCAACATTTAAATCTAAGAAGGGCGCAAGAAACAAGAAAAAGATTAAACCAGACAACTCGTTTAAATCCTTTAAGAAATTAAAGCGCTCCAAGAACAATAAGAGTAAGTATAAGTTGGATATTTTTAGGAGAAAAAGTCATTAAGTGTCCTTGCGTTTGATCTACTAACCAAGGAGAAGAGGATCATCAACAATTAACCCCTTTAAAAACCAAGATGTGAAACAGGATTACTCCTCATATAATAGTGGCATCCCCAGAGAATGAGCAATCAAGTCAAGCTATGTGGGTAGGTAAAAGCCCTACAAGTAAGACAAATGCATACTTCACCCAAGGAAGGAATGAGCAGCTTATGGTATATCTAAAACTCACCAAAATAGATATCTACCTCAAAGGGATTTAGTTCGAAGAAATCTGTGTGAGACCTCCCAAAATCCAAACTGGTACTGTTTTATCACAATAGTGTAGACTAAGCCAGCCAAAAAGATCAAAAAGAAGAAGGGTAAAAAAACCAACAACGGCCTAGTCCTTGATACATCAATCTTTGCAAGTAAAAGCCCAGTCAATACCTCCTCTTTCAAGTTCTTTGTAGATGAAGGAAATGAAATAAAAAGAGAAGGTAAATCATAGAGACTAGTATAGACCAATGTAGGAAGATCAATGACATGACCCTCCAAATCCAAAATAGAGATGCGAAGATAAAATTACTCGAGGATAAGATCAAAGAAATGGAGAAAAATCATATCGAGGAAATAAAATAAGTTAAACCAGCTATATTCTCAGAAAGAAAACCAAAGGCAGAAATCTGAAAACAGTCTTAAAAATAGAATTATGAACCTTGAAATGGAAACTCAGCAGAAATAACTTGAATATCACCAACTTTCTTGAGCAAGAAGGTTCACAGATCTCGTCAAGAAATAGATGAGACGAGTGTGAAAGACTCAGATCCATTATAATCGAGATGGAAAACCAAATAGAATCTTATAAGAAGTCTATTTTAAGAAAGGAAAATAATGTAAAGACTTCAACCAACTATGGACATTCATACCTAAAATCCTACATAAAAGATATCGAGAATGACAATCTTGAGTTAGAGAGCTTACTTCTTGATCACGAAAATGACTTGCAAAGCATTCGATACAACCAATCTCCTTTAGATCAACAAGATGAAGTGACCAAAGTATCCTTTATCACACTTTCTCAGCCTAAGGCAGCTAACGATACTTCTTCAGATGCTGATTACATCTTAAAAGCTTCTCCTAGGGTTGAGACTCCTGACTTATCCTGCTCAAAATCTTCCAAAATGCCTTCAAATAATTCTGAAGCACCCAAATACACTAAATTCTCAATTGATTGCCCTAAAAGAAATCAAACCAACAAAGCATCTATGCAGGAAAAATCTTTTTAACATTATGACAAAAGAAGAGTAATCAGAGATATACAAACAAGGCGAAGAAAGAATTACGAAAAACACAAAAAATTAAACTCTGCTAATTAAACTCTAACAAGAGGTACTTTAAATAATTCTAATACCTAAAATTCAACAATCAACCTTCAAAAAGGGGTTTTGGGGTTTTGGGGTTTTGGGGTTTTGGGGTTTTGGGGTTTTGGGG